TCATTTTATTGAAAAAAATTTAAGGCTATATATATATATTTTAAAAAGTTATTATATTTAAGAGAGGGGAAGGGAGGGAGAAAGAGAAGGAGAGAAACATCAATGAGAGAGAAATATCGATTGGTTATCTCTCGCATGCCCCCAGCCAGGGACCTGGCCCACAACCTAGGCGTGTGCCCTGACCAAGAGTTGGACCGATGACTGTCAGCTCTGTTGTCTGACGCCCAGCCAACTGAGCCACACCAGTTGGGGCAAGGCTATATTTTTAAAAAGAAGAAGAATAGAGTCCTTTAGTGGCTGGCAGAAATCTGGAATAAAGCTCAAATCTGTCCATGGCCTTCAAGGCCAGGATGACCCAGCCTCTTTTATTTATCAGCCATATTTATTTTTTGCCTTTCTGTCCCTCCTTCCACTTTGAGTTTCATCTTTGCTCTACTCCTTTCTATCCCTTGGATATACCATGCTGTTGCTCTCCTGATCTCCATACCACCCTCTTGATTCTCTTTTTCCCTAGCCAACTCTTACTTATCCTTCAGGATTCACTCTTATGAAGCCTTCCCTACTTCTAGGACAGACCAGGGAGGTGCTCCTCTGTGTTCTCGCAGTTTTTTTGTACTTACTCTCCCAGAGCCCTTCTTAGGCTGTGTTGTAATTTCTCATTAACTTGGCTGGGTCCTCTACTCTGACTTCCTCTCTCTCAACTCCAGACTGTCTCTGACATTAGAGAAAAAGTTGAAGCCCTTCCTGGACCCCATCTTCCATGCAGGTAGTACCCTCTCTCTATTCTCTTTCTAGGCATAAGTAGCCTTATTCAAAGACCTGTCTATACCTGCTTACCTGTTCAACTGTAGACCTAATCTGGCTACTACTCCCAATCCCATGCCACCAAAACAGGTTTTGCTGGGACTACAGATGACTTGATGTTACTGAGTATGGTGAGCACTTTCAGCCCAGCCCTTTTCATGCTATCACATCTGCTCACTGTCTACGCCTTGCTTTGGAGACTCCACTCCTGGTTTTCCTCCAGCTCATCCTCTTCTGACTACTTTTTTCATTTATTTATTTTTAAATTATATTTTATTGATTATGCTATTACAGTTGTCCCAATTTTTCCCTCTTTGTCCCCTCCACCCAGCAGCCCCCACTCCTTCAGGCAATCTCCACACATTTGTTCATGTCCATGGGTCTTTGGCTTCTCCATTTCCTACACTGTACTTAAAATCTCTATGACTATTCTGTAAATAATAATTTGTGCTTCTTAATCCCTTCACCTTTTCGCCTATTTCCCTAACCACCTCCCCACCACATCTGGCAGCTACCAAACTGTTCTCCATATTAATAATTTTGTTTCTGTTCCACTTGTTGGCTTGCTGTATTTTTCAGACTGTAAGACGTACTTCCCCCCAGATTTGGGAGGAAAGGGGGGTGCGTCTTATAGTCCAAATGTAGCTTGCCTGGCCGGGGGAGCGGGCAACTGTGGTAGAGCTCAGTCATTGGAGGCAGGAGCAGGGGCCCTGCTGCAGAAGCCGGCTGTGGCAGGAGTAGGGCGGGGCCTAGGCTGGGAGGAGATGGTGTCCTGGTGGTGGTGCAAAGTAAGGGAGGCAGAAGCGGAGTCCCCACTGCGACATACTATAGTGCTAGGGAGGAGAGTACAGGCGGTGCAGACACATTAGGAGAAGAAAGCCTGCGGCACCTGTACATGCCTCCATCACGTGACTGGTGTGTCATTCCCCCTCCCCCCATGAACATTAACATTAACATAGGCAAATTCTACTGCAGGGTCACCTGTCAACGTGGCCCTGCAGCTGTTGCAAAACTACAACTCCCATCATGTTTGGACATGTTGGGATGATCAGAGCTGTAATTTGGCAACAGCTGCAGAGCCACACAGGTTGTGCAAAACTGTTGAGTTCTGTTTACATTTACATTGGTGAAATACTATGTTATTAAATATTTTACCACATTTTTTGTTTCAAAATTTTTTTTTCTTATTTTCCTCCTCTAAAACCTAGGTGCATCTTATGGTAGTTTGTTTTTCACATTTAATTGTTGGTAGATATATATTTATTACCATTTTATTGCTCATAATTTTGATCTTTTTCTTAAATAAGTTCCTTTAATATTTCATATAATACTGGTTTGATGGTGATTAACTTCTTTACCTTTTTCTTGTCTGGGAAGCTCTTTATCTGCCCTTCAATTCTGAATGATGGCTTTGCTGGATGGAGTAATCTTGGTTGTAGGTCTTTGCTGTTATTACTTTGAATACTTCTTGTCAATTCCTTCTAGCCTTCAAAGTTTCTTCGGCAAAATCAGACAGTCTTATGGGAACTCCCTTTAGATAACTACCTGATTTTTTCTTCTTGCTTTTAAGATTTTGTCTTTATTTTTAACCTTTGGCACTTTAATTATGATGTATCTTGGTGTGGGCCTCTTTGCATCCATTTGTTTGGGACTCTGTGCTTCCTGGACTTGTATATCTGTTTCCTTCACCAAATTAGGGGAATTTTCTTTCATTATTTTTTCAAATAGATTTCCAGTTCTTATTCTTTTTCTTCACCTTCTGGCATACCAGTGAATACTGGTATGTGTGAAGTTGTTCTATAGGCTGCTTATACTATCCTCATTTCTTTGGATTCTTTTTTCTTCTTCTTGTTCTGGTTGGTTGTTTTTGCTTCCTTGTGTTCCAAATCATTGATTTGATTCTCAGCTTCATCCATTCTGTTGATTCTCTCTAAATTGTTCTTTATTTCAATTAGTGTATCCTTCATTTCTGACTGGATCTTTTTTACGCTGTTGAGATACTCACAAGTGCTTGAGCATCCTTATAACCAGTGTTTTGAACTCTGCTTCTGAAAGATTACTTATCTCCATTTTGTTTAGTTCTTTTTCTGGAGTTTTGTTCTGTTCTTTCATTTAGGCCATGTTTCTTTGTCTCCTCATTTTGGCAGCCTTTCTGTGTTTGTTTCTGTGTATTAGGTAGAGCTGCTCTGACTCCCTGTCTTGATAGCATGGCCTAATGTACTAGGGGTCCTGTGGGGTCCAGTGGCACAGCCTCCCCAATCACCCAAGCTGGGTATTTGAGGTGCGCCCTTCATGTGGGCTGAGTACACCCTCCTCTTGTGATTGACCCTTGATTGCTGTTGGCAGATCAATGGAAGGGATTTACCAAGGCCAGTCAGCTGCAAGGACTGGCTGTGACCACCAACCTCCACCCTCTGTGGAGGATCAGCTGTGCAAGAGCCCACTCCACAGAGCAGGGCTTACTTTAGCAGGGCTCTGGTGCCTTCTTGTGTTCTGCCTGGGGCCACTTGGCATAAGCGATAAGTGATCTGCAGCTGGCTGCTTCTTGTGCTGGGCTTGGAGGTGCCCTAGCAAGGCCAGGCTGTGAACCCAAGGCCAGCTGCTGCTAGTGCCTTGGGCCAGTTAGCAAGGTACAGGGGCTTGCTGAGGCCAGCTGCTGCTTGTTTGAGAGGATTTAGAAAGATCAGAAGCATGAGCCAAGACAAGCCATTTGTATAGAAAGGCTACTGTTAACCGCTTGGACGCAGGGGCCCTAAGTTGGGTGACACATAGTCTCAGGGAATCACAAGGGCAACTCAAACAGTGTGAGCCAGGTTGATGGAGTCTCAGATATATTGCCCACTACCCTCTGTGGCTCTGTCAGGGGAGGGCTCAGAAGAGGAGCAATGGCCTCTGCCAACAGTTCTGTCTTGGGAAAAACTGTCTGCCAGTTCTTGCCTTGATGCCAGACATTCAGTTCCTCCCTGCATGCCATTAGTGCCTTTCAAGCTGCTGCCCAGGTGCTGGAGCTCAGTGGGAGTGAGTCTGAGTGAGTCTCTGCACAGGCCCTTAAAGAGGAACTGCCTGGGAGTCCAGCAGTTTCTTCTCCTGACTCAGTCTCCACTGGTTTTTACAGCCAGAAGCCATGGGGACTTATCTTCCTGGCACTCCCTGGGTTGGGAATCCTGGTGTGGGGTTAGGACTCCTCTCTCCTGAGATATCCCTCTCGATTTTTATCTGCCTTAAGTTTGTGTGGGACCAGCTCCATCTGTATCTCCCTATCTCTGCTCCTCCTACCTGTCTGGGTGGATGTAGTTTCTTCTTTAATTCCATGGTTGTAAGACTTCCATTCCACTTGATTTCTGCTGGTTCTGAGTGATTAATGATCTATAGTTTAGTTGTAATTTTGCTGTGGTTGTGCAAGGAGGAGAGACATGCCTCTCCTAGGCTGCTGTCTTAGAGATCTTGGAGCTTGGGTATTACCATTAATTTTTTTAACAGATAATACATTTATATGATTCATAATTTGAAAAGATGTCCTAATTTTTATCAGTTCTAAGACCTAGGCTGCCATCTTGGAGATCTTGGAGCTTGGGTATTATCATTAATTTTTTAACATAATACATTTATATGATTCATAATTTGGGAAGACGTCCTAATTTTTATCAGTTCTAAGATGAACATTTGGATGTTTCTGAAAGCATTTTAGTGTCTGTGTCTTAAAATTTTGGGGATCTTATAATTACAAGTTGGCAGTATTTTTGTTTTCTTTTGGTAAATAAAATTAATGATCAGTCTTAAAACCCATGGTGTCTTGGGGTAGATGGCATAAAGATACGTAGTAACAATTCAGTTTTCTCTATGCCCCGGGGAGCCACAATGATTTTTTTCTTGATATCCTACTAGAGATTCTTTGTGTACATATTACCAAATACAAAATAGGGTGGGGCAAAAGTAGGTTTACAGTTGTTTGTATGGCAAATAACACAATAGTTAATAATAATATAAGAATAAACTATTTTGTATAAACATAACTGTAAACCTACTTTTGCCCCACTCTGTGTTTGTGTATGTTTTCCCCTAATGTTTTACTCTGAAAAATTTCAAAGCTACAGAAAGGTTTAAAGAACAGTGCGATAAACACTGGTTCGTCACCTAGATACATCAGTTTTTAATATTTTGTGACATTTACTTTATCTACTTTTTTTTTTTTGCAGAACCAGTTGAAAGTAAGTTGCGGATAAGACACTGTACCTTTGAATACTTCAGCATTTATCTCCTAAGAACAAAGATATTCTCCTGGGTAACTACAACATCTAAGAAATTTAACATTGAACAATGATACGTGCTATGCAATCTATGTTCAAATTTCTTTACTTGTCCTAAAAATGTCCTTTAGACCTGTGATTTAGAAATCCAGGATTCACTACAGGATCACTCATTGCATTTGGTTGCATGACTCTAATCCCTGTACGAATTTTTTTTCCTTTACCAATTTTTGTCTTTCATGACATTAACATTTATTTGCTGTGGAAAATTTCTCACAATCTGGATTTGTCAGATTGTTTTTTCTTGGTATTTTGAAACTAAATATTTTGGCAACAGTACTACATAGATGACCTTGTATCTTTCTGTGTGTATCACAGTTGGGAGGTACATGACATCCTTTGGCCCCATTGTCAGAATGCTAAGCTTGGTCATTTGGTCTGCCAGATCTTCTCATTATTGAAGTACTCGTTCTCCGTTGTGATTAATAAGTAATCTGAGGGGTAGCACTCAAAGTGTGTGACACTCCTATTAGCAGCCATTGATCATCCTTTTTTGTATGAGTTCTTATACAAGGGTTGCAAATGATGGTTTTTAAAAATTCTGATTCTATTATTAGAACTTTTTTCTCTCCCTTTCTTTTGTATGTTATCCTAGACTTGTGTATTCTTTTCTTTTTTTAAGTGTATTTTATTGATTATGCTATTACAGTTTTCCCAATTTCCCCCCCTTTATCCCCCTATTGCCCTGCACCCCTAACCCTTCCAGTATCCACCCCACTTAGTTCCTGTCCATGGGTTGTACTTTGACTTGTACCAGTCTTTACTTGTACCAGTTTCCTGTACCAGTCTTTACCTCTCCCCATCTGTTTTATTCCTTCCAATTATGCTTCTTCTTCACTGTACCTTTCCCTCCTCATTCTTCCCCTCCCCCTCCCCACTGAAAACCCTCCATGTGATGTCCATTTCTCTGATTCTGTTATTGTTCTAGTTGTTTGCTTAGTTTTTGTTTTTGTTTTTTTTTATGTTCAGCTATTGATAGTTGTGAGTTTGTTGTCATTTTACTGTTCATAATTTTTGATCTTCTATTTCTTAGATAAGTCCCTTTAACATTTCACATAATAATGGCTTGGTAATGATGAACTCCTGTAACTTGACCTTCTCTGGGAAGCACTTTATCTGCCCTTCCATTAGAAATGAAAGCTTTGCTGGATAGAGTAATCTTGGGTGTTGGTCCTTGCCTTTCATGACTTGGGATACTTCTTTCCAGCCCCTTCTTGCCTGCAAGGTTTCTTTTGAGAAATTGCTGATAGCCTTATGGCCACACCTTTGTAGGTAACTCTTTCCTTTCCTCTTGCTGCTTTTAAGATTCTTTATCTTTCATCTTGGGTAACTTAATGATGATGTGCCTTGGTGTGCTCCCCTTCAGGTCCAATTTCTTTGGGACTCTCTGGGCTTCCTGGACTTCCTGGAAGTCTATTTCATTCACTAGATTGGGGGGAGTTCTCCTTCATTATTTGTTCAAATAAGTTTTCAGCTTCTTGCTCTTGTTCTTCTCCTTCTGGCGCCCCTATAATTCTGATGTTAGAGTGTATAAAGTTGCCCCAGAGGTTCCTAAGCCTCTCCTCATTCTTTTGAATTCTTGTTTCTTCATTCTGTTCTGTTTGGATGTTTATTTCTTCCTTTTGTTCCAAATCGTTAATTTGAGTCCTGGTTTCCCTTCCCTTAACTGTTGGTTCCCTGTATATTTTGCTTTATTCCACTTTGGGTAGCCTTCATTTGTTCTTTCATTTTGCGACTGAGCTCAATTAGTTCTGAGAGCATCTGTTTACCAGTGTTTTTAACTCTGCATCAGGTAGGTTGTGTATCTCCTTGTCACTTAGCTCTTTTTCTGGAGTTTTGATCTGTTCTTTCATTTGGGCCATATTTCTTTGTCTTTGTGCACAGGTTATGTTGTACGGGGGAGGGGCCTTAGGTATTCACAGGGCGAAGCAACCCTCTTCACTGTGTTGTGGCACTGTCTGTGGGGGAGGGGTCAGAGAGGGAACAATGTGGCTTGCTTGTTCTGCCCTGGCCCCACTTTCCAACCAACTCTGTAGTGTGAGACTGAGAGTTTCTCTCACGGTGGCAACCCCCACAGTAGTTTACAGCTAGCTTTGAGTCTTTAGTTTCCTGCTCAGCCAGCTCCAACTCTCCTGGCCTACGTGGTTCACTGCCTTGCCCTGTTCATCCTTTCTACTCGGCTGCCCACCTACCAGTCTCAGTGAATGTTTTTTTAACTGCCTGGTTGTCGGAGTTTCATGTAGTTTGATTTTCTGGCACTTCTGGTTGTTTATTGTTTTTAGATTGGTTGTTGTCCTCCTTTTGGTTGGGTGAGGAAGCACAGCATTTCTACCTATGCCTCCATCTTGGCCGGGACTCCCACTTGTGTATTCTTTTCATTCAGTGTGTTCTAACCTACCCATGACTGACATTATTCATATTTTTCAATTTTTTATTTTGAAAACTTCCACACTAAAGTTGAAGAAATAGTAAAAAGGGTACCCTTTACTATATAGCGTCACCCAGATTAACCAGTTGTTAACATATGCCACATTTGCTTTGATTCTGTCTATCTGTTCATAATTTCCTATTTTATGTTTGAAGTGACATAATACATTGCTCCTAAACACCTGAGCACATATTTCCTAAGTACAAGGACATTCTCCTACATAACCTTGATATCATTGTTGCACCCTAGAAGTGTAACACTGACACAACATTATTATCTAGGTTAGAGTCTATATTCAAGTTTCCTTTATTATTCCAGTGATGGCTTTTATAGTGTTCCCCCAATCAAGGTTTACACATTGGTTTTTGTTGCCATGTATCTATAGTCTCCAATAGTTTAGACAATCCCTTATCTCTTTACATTTTTTTGTCTTTTAGGATGTTGATATTTTTTTAACAGTCCAAGTCAGTGTAGGTTTTAGAATGCTACACAGTTTAGGATTGTCTGATTGTTCCTCATGATTAGACTCAGGTGAAACATTTTGGGTTCAGAACACTACACAGGTGGCGCTGTGCCCATCTCCCTGCATCACATTGTGAGGCCATAATGTCCATCTGTCCCATTATTAGTAAGGTTAAGTTTGATCATCTGGTTAAGGTGGCATTTGCTAACTTACTTCACAGTATAAAAGCCTGTTTCCTTTTGTAATTAAGTAATCTTTGGGCTAGTACTTGAGACTCTGTGACTCTTTTCCTCCCAACAATCGTTTGCCCAGTGAAAGGTTTAGTATCTATTGAAGATCCTTGACTGAACCAACTATTTCTTTAGTGATTTCAAGATTGGGAGATTTCTCCAATTCTGTTACTCCTTTTACATTTATAGCTAGCATTCTTCTGCGAAGACCTTTCTTTCTTCCTCCTTCTCTTTTTAAATTGTTTTCTTTTCTTTTTTATTGGTTCTAGAGAGAGGGAAAGGGAGGGAGAATGAGAGGGGGAGAAACATGGATCAGTTGCCTGTGCCCCAACTGGGGACAAAACCTGAAACCCAGGCATGTGCCCTGACTGGAAATCGAACCAGCGACCTTTCGGTTTGTAGGACAATATCCAACCAATAAAGCCACACTGGCCAGGGCCTCCTCTTTTTAGAAATGAGTATCACTTTGCACTTATGAATTATTTTTTAAAATTCAGTATGTTATTATTGTTATTATTACTTTGATACTCGTAATTGTCCCAAATTTGGCTAGTGGTAGCCCCGTTCAAACTGATGTCCTTTTGACATGCTCCCATTCATTGCATGCCTTGTCGTTTCCGTCACTACAAGATGTTCTGACCAGGGGCGTCCAACCTGTTGGCATCTCTGGGCCACACTGGAAGAAGAGGAGTTGTCTGGGGCTACACATGAATACATTGTGACACATAATCACAAAAAATCTCACCATGCTTTAAGTAAATGTACGACTTTATGCTGGGCTGCATTCACAGCCACCCTGGGCTGCATATAGCTGCAGGCTGCAGGTGGACACCGTGTCAGGCTGAATTTTGTATTTGTCTTGGCTGGGGACCAGCCACATGTATATACAGGGTCCAGCGCAAATAACACCCCTTTTTTATTACAAAATCATAAGCATGTAATTCTATAACATAACAATATCACACTCAAGCACAACATATGACATTTTAGGTGAAATGTTCAAATTAAAAATATAAATTATTACACCAATATTATTACCCTACCAACCACACTCAAGCAGGCATTACTTCTGCTGCGCCCTGTATTTTAAGTCATGGGATCATACTGATACCTCCAATTCAAGTCCAACATCTTAGAACTCTTCTTTTTTTACTTTCCCACATTCCATGTCCTGTCTTCATACTCTTTTTTTTTTTTTAAGATATTATTGATTTATATTTAGAGAGAGGGGAAGAGAAGGAGAAAGAGGAGAGAAATACCAATGTGTGGTTGCCTCTTGCACGCCCCATACTGGGGACCTGGCCTGCAACCCAGTCATGTGCCCTGACTGGGAATTGAACTGGCGACCCTTTGGTTCGGAGCTCACGCTCAGTCCACTGAGCCACTCCAGCCAGGCCCTGTCTTTATACTCTTTAACAGTGAGAACTAAGGTTCCTAATGGCACACATTTACTCACATGCTTTCTCCTACATTACACATGACCAAGTTTCAGAATCACCACATTAGTACCAGCAGTAACAGTAAATCTGTGGGTATATGGGTTATTTTTCTAGTTATTTTTGTCCTTGAGATACATCCACCTGAGAGAACACAGAGTACTGTGAGAAGTTACTTGGCTAATTCTTTTACCTGTGGTTGTGTTCATCTTCATTTGTTCTTGTTTATTTCAACATGAGGGCTTACTTTTATTTCTGGTCTAAGTTTTTGAATGTGTAAGACATTGTATGTACAAAAGTATGTAAAAATCTTTACCCAGAGAAGTCTCACGACTCATTCTAGCCCTTCCACCATGTAGCTTTCCATGTCATTTGTTTCTGGCTTATTCTTCCTGTGTTTCTTTTGCAAAAATAAGCAAATTAGTATGCATATTCTTTTAAAAATATTTTTAAATTTTAAATTTTAAATTTTAATTGTTCAAGTTTTTTTCTTTTAATTGAGTATGCATATTGTTATTTCTCTTTATTTCTTGCATAAAAGGTGGCATACTATACTTGTCTGTACTTTGTTTTTTTCACTTGACAATGTATCCTAGAAGCCATTCCATAGCAGTTCACAGAGATCACCCTCATTCTTTTTTACTTCTATGTAGTACTCCATTGAATGATGTGCCATAGTTTGTTCAAATAGTTGCATTTAGGTTACTTCCAACATTTTGCTATTGCAAATAGTGTCATGTTGAGTAATGTGTATTTGTTTCTTATTTGTGGGTAAGTAAACAGAAGTAGGATTGTTGAGTCAAAAGGAAAATAGATTTTTATTATTCCTTTCTCCTCCTTTTAAAAAAACAAAAGGTAGCATATTATATAGACTGTTCTGCATGTTGCATCTTCAATGACTAGTAATTGTGGAGATCTTTCCATATCAGTATTTTTAAAAATAGCTGCAGAGCAGTCTATTGTATGACCATACCATTTATTTCATCAGCCCCCTATTGATGGCATGCAGATTGTTTCTGTCTTTTGGTGTTACAAACCATGCTGCAGTAATGCAGCTGTATGAGGGCATCATTTCATGTGGGTCCCTAGCATGCTTATCTTTTTTCCTTTGTGGTAGATATTTTTGGTTTTTATATCTGTATTTGATTTTATCACAAAGGGTCCACAAAGATTATAATTGCACAAACTTTTAACTGGGTCCAGAGAAATTTGACTGGAACTCTAGGAGGATTTGTTTTTCTTTTTTGTACAGCAAACTTTTCATTGGAATACAACAAACAGAAAAGTGTACAAATTGTAACTATGTTTCATGAATTTTCACAAAGCCAATACCTCTAACACCATAGATTTGTTTTGTCTGTTTTTCAACTTTATAGAAATCTCTACCCAACTGTAAAATGGTTCATTGCCTTAGCACTTGGTCATAGACCATTTTCTGATTTTGATGATGTATATAGCTCCACCAAAGTTACTGTTCTAGTGAGCTGATTGTTCATTTGCTTCCTTGCCCTTAACTCTGTATGTCTCAGTGCAGGCCACGTGCTGAACTCCTGACTGGAGTATCCCCAGTGCTTACAAGGCAGCCCTGTTTGGGGTCTCACAGCACCTGAGACTTGGCGAGTCAGTAACACAGCTGCTTGTTGTCTTCCCCAGAACCCTGTCTTTTCTCACGGGTGCCTCCTGTGACGGGGCTCCCTGTTAACAGGACCCACCCTTCTTGGTGTTTAAGCTGGCACAGAGTCTTCTTGATGGCTCCCTCCCCAACTCCCCAAATCCACCTCAGGGCCCCTTCATACTTGCTCCCAAGGGCCTCAAGCATCATTTCCGGTCCACCTCCCCTCTCTGCTTTGGCCATCGTGGTTTTCTTTCCTTTATTTAAAAGTATGAGTATCCAACAGGGTCTCTGCAAGCTTTCCCCTCTTCCCAGAAGGCTGCCCTGCCCTGGTCAACTCCTCTGTGTTCTGTAGGGCTCTTCTACTTCCCAGTCCAGGTTAGATCACCTTGATACACGCTGCCTATGTTTTCATTCCCGCCACCCTTCCCTTTTATTTTCCTGCAGAGGGCAGGGGCCATATCTTTCTTATTCATGCTGTTTCCCCAGTGCCTGGCAGATTATAAATCCCCAAAAAGTGAACATATGACTGAAGGCAAAGGCAGGAGGGAGGGGAGCCTTACCTGTGACTGAGGCCTGGGTGCTGCCTTATTCAGGGTCAAGGAATAGGGTTTTCTCTTTCAGAAGTCTCTGGTCCCCTCAGGTCCTCTCTGTCACTTGCCTTTCCCTGCATGGGGTCCCCTTTTAGGTTTCTTTCCTACCCTGGGGCTTTCTGTGGTTAGCCTTTGTGCCTTGAGGCAAAGGGCATGAATGCCTGGAAGGAGGCAGCTGGTGGAATGGTATCTCTGTGAGGTGGGAGATGCCTCCACTGGGTTCATCCCTCTGTGATAGTGTGAACAGGGTCCTGCCCCAGGAAACGTCCAGCCCGGCTGGGGCTGAGAGCGGGACCTGGTTAGGATGGGCCGTGATCCTCATCCTTCTCTGGCTTTTCTTTCCTTCCAGTTCAGGACAAAAAGGCTGGGCCGGCTGGCGCCATCATGGCAGGTAAGGAGAGGACGGGCCATGTGGGCGAGACATGTAAGTGAGCGTAGTGTGGGTGGACCTCCTCCTAGTCCTCTTATCCCCCACAGTGTTTAGAGGTCAGGTTCTTTCTGTCCTCTTGCCCCCAAGTTTTCCCTGGTCCCGTCCTTAGGCCTATCTGTTTGAGACCCTGCATATGACACTGTCTAGCCCTCTGTCAAACCTCTGACCCTGGGGACCAGGGATCAAGCATCCTGATGCCCTGGTCCTACTGGCCATCAGACTGATGGGTGGCATGGGTGGCACAGTCCCTGTCCCCTCTGTCACCATTGCTCTCTAATACTCTGAGACCTTTTCCTTCTGGTTTCTGAGTTGTGTGGTTTCCGAAGGCCCAGGTACAGAAGGCCAGAGCTGGAAGGACTTTTAGGGACTATGTAGCTCAATTTTCATGCCACTGGATAAACAGGTCTGGAGAGGGGCGGTGACTTGCCCAAGGGCAGAATATTGGAGTTGAGGCTGGAACTCCTGTTTCCGGACTAACCTTTCCTGCTCCTTCTACCAGGAATTGGCTCCCTGCCGAGGAGGGTGCTGCACCACTGATGGACAGCGTTTACTGTTTTCCTTCTGAGAGACAGTGACGCTGCTTTAGGGCTTTTGGTTACCTTGGGAACCTCACAGAGGAAGCAAGGATGGTTGGGTAGGGACAGCAAAGTGGCCTATGATCACAAGGCCCGACGGGCAGCCTAGGCCAGAGAAAGAATGATGAGACTGGATTTTTGAGAATGGGAACATTCAAGGTCATGCCATGCGATGTGCCTCACCCGCAGAGAAAGTGAACAACTTCCCACCACTGCCCAAATTCATCCCACTGAAGCCATGTTTCTACCAAGACTTTGAGGCCGACATCCCTCCCCAGCATCTCAGCATGACCAAGCGCCTCTACTACCTCTGGATGTGTGAGTGCTCTGGATGAGGGGCTGGGTGGGGGCGTGGGGCATTGGGGTGGGGTTCCTGCAGGCTGCCTGTCCTTCAGCCCCATTTGCAGCATTTGCATGGGACAGTAAATCTTTCCCTGCCTGACTCCCTAAGAGCTCCTCTCATGGGCCAACTTCCCAGCTGGGCCTTAGTTTTCCTCAATCTCCGGTCTAGGCCTCTCCTTTCTCCAACACACATAGCCCATTCATAGACCATCCAAATAAGGGTCTCTGTCTCTTGCTCTCCCTTTCCTTTCCCGCTGGAGTGGTTTTCTAGGGAACCTCAGGATTCTGAATTCAGAGAGGGATCCTTCCCTCCAAGCCTCATTTTTCCTGTTTGGCTGGAACAATGCTCAAAGAAAAGAGCATTCAGCTAGGAGCTGGGAGAGAAGAGATCAAAGTGGCTGGTTGCTCCATTTCCTAAGCAGTAGGAAGAGGGCGTTGGCTGAGTGATCACTGTGGTTCCATGTTGAGCTCTGTTTTGTAGTCAGTGCTTCTAAGACTCTGGAGTTCTAATGTTCTAAGATTTTTGAGGGCCCTAGTTTCTGATGGTTTATGGAAGGTTGGTGGGGAAGGTATTGTCTTAGGGGATGGGACTTGGCCATGCCCAGACTGGTCATAGGTACCTCTTAGGTATAGGCAGGGAGAGGAGTCTGATCATCCTGTGTGGGTACCAGCCCCAAGGAATGCCAGGCACCCTCAGAGTGATGTTAGCCTGGGTCTGCCACGTGTAATGTTGCCTTGAGTAGGTCTGCTCTGAGGAGCTGTCCTGGGAAGATGATTAATTGTGCCAGGAAGATGGTGAAGAATTCTATCTTTGCAGCAGGTCCTTCATGGAATGGTAGAAAGAGTATGGGGACAGACAAATTCAATTTTAAGTCCTGGCTTGGTCTTTGGGCAGTCATGGGGCCATTTTCCCCCATGTAACATGAGAGAAGGAAGGGATAGGGTAGGTGTGGCTAGGTCTGTAGATGTTGGGAAGAGAATGAATGGGCTGTCTCAGAAGGCTTCCACTTTTTCCCCATCAAAATAGGGTATAGAAGTGGGGATGGGAGCTTTGAGGAGACTGGAATTAGAAGGAGAACATGTTTGTGGACAGAGGGTAGGGACACTATCCAAAGAAACGTGACCCCTAAGATTTCTGGGCCATGCACAGGGTCCCTCTGAGCGGTCCCACCAGCCCTCTAGGATTGGGGGCACTCCTTTTTCTCTAGGAACATTCAGCTCAGAGCCAGATGGGAGTTGTGCTCCTCCAGGGTATGTGTGATTAGAAGACAGGGCAGAATCTAAGCTAGATAAAAAGAGGAAAGTGGAGATAGAAAAAAGTTGATGGCTAGAGAGAGAGTGGCCAAGTCAGTGGATGTCAGTTCCAAAGAGGCAGTAGAATATTTGCAGGAAAGGCAACTAGGTCAACTGAGCTGGAGAGAGCTGGGACTAGGAAAAGAGGTTAAACCAATATAAAAACAGGTTGATGTCTGGTTTATGTAAAAGCAAATAAAACCAGTGAGAACACCAAAGTTCCAGGAAATTTGGGGGCAGTAAACACAAATGGAGGAAATGCAGATGAAAGGCACAGGAAGAAATGTGCGGGAAGAGGGTCCTGAGATGAGTATACCTGCACAGGTGGCAGTGTTGTTAGGGCAGACTTGGGGAGCATTCCACCTGACCCTGGGCTCTGGGGACTCTGCCCCTGAGCAGATCTCATTCAGGAGCTGGATTTAAGGGCTACAGATGTCTTCCTAAGTCCTCTCTAGGTACCTGCCAGATGCTTTGCTCCTAAAGAAATGTACTGAGCCCTTGAGATGCTTACAGGTTTTATTCAGAAGCTAGTACCATAGATACCTGGATGTTTGAAGCTAAGATGGAGCCCACCTTCCTTTGTTTATTCAGCAGGTCTTTGTGGAGCCTTAAAGGAACTCAGCCTACTGTTTGAGGAAGGGAACACCCCGTGTCAGAAGACCTGGGTGTGTGTTAGTGCCAGCATCAGATGAGGAAGGAGTCTCTGAGGTCCCTGATGCTGGGATTCTGAGGTTCATGTGTGGGCACAGACGAGGGCAAACCTGGGTCTTGTTCTTGGGGAGTTTCTAGTCTGGTTGATGGGCTGGGATTTGTACTCGAGGAACCATGACAGCAGCCTAGGTCTGCAGGAGGTCAGAGGGATGGGAGATGAATAGACTGCAGTAGCGAAGGAAGGCTTCTTGGAGGAGGTGGCATGATAGTTGTCTAAGAAATGGATTAGATAAGACTGAGATCCCAGCCACCACTGCCTGCCCCATTAAAGTGCAGGGGAGACAGTACAGTGGCTTGACAGGATGTTTCCACAAGGCCTTTCCCCTTTTTGTGCCCCTACCTTTTGAGAGAAGATGTAAGGCAGGTTTCCTGTGCCTCGGCCTTAGTGGTTGCTGTGGCTCTGGTGGGGCCAGGGGCTGAGGCTATTCTTAGAAGGAGGAGAGTTTTTCTACTACCCCAAGGCTTTGGAGCCCTTCAACAGGGCTTGCTGCTCTGAGGCTCTGGATTTCTGCTCTGGAGGCTCTTTGTTCTCTGGGTTTCTTAGATCCCCAGAAGCAGGTGTGGGGCGGGGGCTGGTCTGAGCTCCCAGCTTTCTTTCTTACAGTCTGTACTCTGTGTGTGTGTGCATATACTCACTGATGTGGGTTGTGGGTGTGAATGTGTAAATGTGTATAAATGTGGTTTGCATGTGTGGTGTTTGTGTGTGTCTACATCTCTCTGCTTGCACTGTTTGCATGTGTTTGATTGTCATGTGTTGAGTTATGGGTGTGTGCTCCTGTGTCTGGGTGCTCATGTTATCTCTGCATGGGCCTGGTGTTTGTGTTCATGTCTGGTGTCTGTCTCTGTGTGTGCGTGTGCTCCTGGGTTGCAGTGAACAGCGTCACGCTGGCCGTGAACCTGGTGGGCTGTCTCGCGTGGCTGATCGGAGGCGGGGGAGCCACCAACTTTGGCCTCGCCTTTCTCTGGCTCATCCTCTTCACACCCTGCTCCTACGTCTGCTGGTTTCGGCCCATTTACAAGGCCTTCAAGTAAGTGGTTGGTGCTGACCCTGGCTCCTAACCCTGCCTCTTTGCTCATCTACCCTATCTCTTCTCTACATATTTTCTCACCTTTTAATTTTTATTATTATTTTTTGCTGTCTCCCAAACTTACTTTTCCTAGTTCACCCTCAGCTCAGACTGCCAAGTAGGATTTGGGCTTCCTGGGAGCTCTAGGGAGGGCTGGGAGTTAGAGCCTGCCTTTCAGTTCCTTTCTCCCTCACTCTACCTATGGGTGTGGGCAGCACAGAGTGCTGGTCTCTACCAGGCCTATTTTAGTTTTGATTTCCCAGGCAGCTGCATGTTAACTTTGCCAATGGGGCCACTCATCTTGGTGGAGATGCCCATCCTGTACCCATGGTGCTAGCTGATTTCATGCCAAGTGGACCATTTATCCATGTACCAATGGACCTAGCCATCTGTATACCACTGACACTATTTATGTGCTAATGAGGTCGTCCGACTCTGTGTCAAAGGGACCACCCATCCATGTATCAGTGGGGCCAGCTGTCTTGGTGCCGGTGGGTGTCTACTTTGTGTCACATGGGATTTTCAATCTTTGTGCCAATTGGACTAATCATTCATATACCAATAAGGCTGTTTGGTGCCACTGGAGTATCCATGGTGCCTCAAATGTCTGCCAATCAGACCATACATCTGTGTGCCAATTAAGTTACTTTCTTGGTGCCAGTAGGGTGTCCATTCTAGTACCAATGAGACTTTCTGTCTCAAAGCTTATGGAACCATCATCTGTGTACCAGTGGAGCTAGTTATCTTGGTGCCAGTGGAATTGTCCATCCCCTTGACAATGGGGTTGTTTATTTCTGCCACAATGGACCCATCTATTTTTGTGCCAGTGGGGCCAACCATCCATGTACCAGTGGGTGGTCCATTCATGAAGAGATGTCTTCCTATGTAATGTTGCACAGACCTAACATATGGAATCCTGCAAAGATCCATGAGTAAACACTGTCCCATTTTGGCCTCTGTCCATTGTGTACTCACTTAAACTTGGAAGGGTCTGGGTGCCTTGAAGGCAGTGAATCCCTTGCCCTCTTCCCAGGTGATGGGAGCCTTCTCTTCTGTTGCAGGACTGACAGCTCCTTCAGCTTCATGGCATTCTTCTTCACCTTCATGGCCCAGCTGGTCATCAGCATCATCCAGGCTGTGGGCATCCCAGGCTGGGGCGTCTGGTAAGAGACTGAGGTATCTGGGACTGACCCAGGGCTGGCATGGGTGGTACCTTGGGTATGTCTTTTGTTTACCTCCATATGCTAAACTGTGGAGAAGTGTGAAAGGATTCAGGCTAGTAGAAACAACCATAGCATCAGAGGAGGAGAACCTTGTAGTGGTTTCAAGGGGCTGAGCGTGTCAAGCATCATGAGAGAACCCGAGGAAAGGAAGCCTTATGTCTGAGGAGTTCATCTCCTGAGCCATGGGGAGGATTTTTCCTGAACCACTGACATAGGCCCTTTGGGTATCAGTGAGATGGTCTCTTTGTATCCAGTGATATGGACCCTCCATGTGACAATGAGATGGTCCCTTACCCGTGTCTAGTGGGGTTACACCTGGGTGGCCCTGACTGTGCTGGGCAGTCCCACAACTGGCCTCTTCCTGCAGCGGCTGGATCGCCACTATCTCCTTCTTTGGAACAAACGTTGGCTCAGCGGTGGTGATGCTTATTCCCACTGTCATGTTCACAGTTGTGGCTGTCTTTTCTTTCATCGCCCTCAGCATGGTATGTGATTAACTCACGGGTGAGCGGGTGGCTTTGGAAAGGGGCTGTGATCTGTAACAACCTCCCTTCTAAATGATAGGAAGACCCAGAGGTCTTCCAGGGACTCACTGTGGAATGTCTTGGTGGACTTTGTTCCTGGTGCACAGAGCATGGTGGGAGGGAGGACTGGCTTTTACAGTGAGCTGTCTCTGACTCCCATGGCTTTCCTGGGTGGCCTGCTTTTGATTAACCCTTCCTTGTGCTCCTCCTTCTACAGGTTCATAAGTTCTACCGGGGCAGTGGAGGGAGTTTCAGCAAAGCTCAGGAGGAGTGGACCACGGGGGCATGGAAGAACCCACACGTGCAGCAAGCAGCTCAGAATGCAGCCATGGGGGCGGCCCAGGGTGCCATGAATCAGCCCCAGACTCAATATTCTGCCACCCCCAACTACACATACTCTAATGAGATGTGAGCCAGCCGAGCCTACTGAAAGGCAGGGCTGAGGGCTGGTGGGATGGGGGCTCAAGCCCCATCATCTATTGTGGTGACCAAGCAGGGTTCCCCCTTCCTTTTTCTCCTCTCCCTTGTCTTTTCTCCTCCTCTTTGTACAAGATATCTATATCTATATCTGTATGATTATATAGATATATATATATATCCCCCTAGCCCCTTTGGATTTTGCTCTGAGCATTCTGAGAGCTATGGGCTGCACATGTGTCCCATGTGCAGTAGCTGTGTCCATGTACCCTGTGAAATAGTGTGCAATGGAGGTCTCTGTTGTCCTGGTGCTAGATGTGTGTTTAGAACTAAACCAGCCTCCTCCACCCTCTGCCAGGCCACTCCCTCTGACTGACCTTGGCCCAGGAACCCATCATGGGGCAGGTGTATAGCAGAGAGAGCCTGACTCCCTCCCCAGGGTTAAGAGCTGAAGCTGCTTCCACTTTTGGTCTGATTGGGAAGCAACACTATTTAGTACTCATGGTGGTGGGGATGGTGGTGGTGGTGGGTTGGAGGGTGGGGACAGGCAGGGGATCTTCCCTTGCTCCTCCTGATCTGGGTCTCTTCTTCTTCAGCCTCCTCCACTCCTTTCTTCCTACTGTCACATTCCCTGTGGTCTCTTTCCCAGGGTTTCTCCCTTCCCATGGGGCTTTTCTTTGTCTTCCCCAAGGCTAAATATCCCAATTGTATCTGCTCCTAAGACTGAGCCCATTCTCAGAAGAAGCAGCAGATAGGGGAGCTGAATCTTATCCCTGATGCGAGAGGGCACGCAGATGCAGAGCCCCTCTGTGCACCTGACTTCTGGGAAATGGCAGTGCAGGGTCATCTCCCTGATTCTCAGAGCTTGGCCTATAGAGGCAGGCTCCTATCTTCCCTTCCCTGCTCCCCCTCCTTCTCTTCTCAGAGCCCTCTCAAGCCCCTCAGCCTATGTCTCTCCCCAAATCCCCAGCTGCTGTGGACTATTGCTACCACCCTACCCTGCCTCCCCTGAAGAATTGGGAGGTGTCCAGTCAAACATGCAGCTGGAACAGAGGATATGTATATAATTATTGGCTTCTGGGTGAAGTCTGGCTGGCTCAAGCCTGCTGGGAGGTACTAGGTGTCTCTGGGTGACTGACCATTGGATTCCTGGCAGCAGCAGCTATTCTGGGTGGATCTGGTAGAAGGGATAGGCTCAAAGGGCTGGGCCTGGAGGGAAGATCAGAGGAGAGGACAGGCAGGGCCCAGTGAGAGAGGGGCATGACTCTCCGACGCCAGTTTGCCTTTGGTCACAGGGCAGTTCTGGGCACTTGAACTCATAAACCAGGAAGAAGCACAGGTCCAGTCTTATCTGCAGGTGTAATGGCTGGATTGGGATTTCAGGTTAGTAACAGTGGGAAGGGAGGCTCTCTGGCCACCCGCCCCCCACCCCAACATTAATATAACTTGCCCCCTTTTGTCTACTGGCCTTGGTTCTTGGCCCTTCTTCACCCTGCCAGAACCCCTTTCTCTTCCATGACAGTGATTTCAGGCCTGTAAGGCTATTCTGTTTCAAGCGTTATGCGAATGTTACTGGTAAAGACCCTGGCTCTCTGAGGCCTGGAGTGGAGTGGATTCTCACTCATGGAATAACTGCTTGTTTTCCACTCTCCCTTCTACCTGGGTAATTGTCCTGAAAAACCAAACCCTGTTTGGCCAATGTGGGCTGGTTCTAGCTTAGAACTCAGCACCTGGGCTTCCAGGTACAATCCTGAGCTTTGAGCTCCACATACTTCATTTTCATATAAGGGGAACCAGGACCTCTGGAAAGTTCTCTTCCTAATGGTCCCTTAGGTTTGGGCCAGATTGTGATTGGCTGTCTCCTCTACCACTTTCTGGAAAGCATTTGTCACAGCCCCTAGTACACTAGGTTTAGGTTCTTCCTCCCCTGTCCCTCCCCCAGCCCAGACTTCTGGTTCCCTTTCTTTGGGTCTCGTAACTCTAGGAGGCCCATGCTCCAGCTGCCAGCCCAGAATCCATGATCTGCTAGTTACCACCTCCAGTTGATTTCCCTCCCTACTTTCCTTTCCTTTGTCCTGGCTTAGACCTGGCTGTGCTCTGACTGCCCCAGGGAAGGCCTGCTACTTGTGTGTGGTTGAGTGTGTCCAGGCCCTGGAGTGCTGCATCTCCAGGCAACTATGCACTTTCCTGGTGAAGGAGCCAATATAAAAAGTGGGGAGCTAGGCCCAGATTCATCTCTGCTGGGTGGTTTTGGGGGTGGGATGGATGAAAGCCCAGGTCAGTTCTGGGAATCCTCAGGTCTGCAGCCAGCCAGTGACCTGCTTTTGTATTCTGCTGGTGCCCACTGCTGCTCCTTATTTCTGGGAGACACAGACCGTTCTTCATCTGGCAGTTGACCTGCCTGAGCCAGTGTGTCTGTCTGTGGTAACTGAGAGAACAATAATAAAAGGGAACATTTGGCCCTATGTATCCTGTGTCATGTGTCTTCATGTGGGCTTGTTGTGTGGAGGCAGGGTAGGTCTGTATAGCCTGTCATTCCCAGAGTCCAGAATTCACCTCTGTGTGGTTTTTTTTTCTGAGGCAGCCATCAGTAGGCCTCGAAATGGCCACAGAGGTCTCCTTCCGATTAGGAAGAGTAGTTCCTCAGGAGGGAGTAGAGGGCTTGATTAGTGGGTGAGGGGTGGGTTGGTCCTGCCCTACTAGGGGAGGGGAAAAGCACAGGTGGCTTCACTCAGTTCTCATGATGGGCTGGCAGCTGATTGAGCAGCCTCAACAAGCACAGGGAGTTCCAGGGTTCAGTGCTGAAGAATAAGGAAGGCTGTGAAGTGCACCCGGATACCTTCCTGTTGCTGATGCCACACCCTCCATCTGGACTGCTGGGTTCTTTTGTTTTGTTTTTAAAATTTTTTCCACTTTTAATTAATTTGAGAGAGGGAAAGAAAGGGAAGGAGAAAGGGAGAGAAACATAGATGTGAGAGAGAAACAACCATTGGTTGCCTGTCGTTCGCACTGACGGGAGGAACCCACAACCTATAGACATGAACCTTGACGAGGTATCGACTGACGACTTGCAGGACGATGCCCAATCAACTGAGCCACACAGGTCAGGGCTGGACTGCTGTTTTGGTATTCTAAGCTCTTGCTCATCATTCGGGATTCACCCTTTCCGACTGCTCAGAGGGATTCCCTGCCTGTAGCTGTTTATGCCCCTGTGCTTCTTCAAGGAGGACATTATTCTGTAATTTTCTGTCCTTCATCTCAAGAGCAGGGATGCGATGTGTCTGGTTCATCTTTGTAACTAACCCCTGCACTTAAAACAGAAGTATTCAGTATTAAACACCCCAAGGATGAGTAGTGTTTATGTGTGGAATGGGGGTGTGGGCTGAGGAGGCCAGACAATTAGGCGAAGCCTAGGTGAGAGCACCAGAAAAGCCAGTAACAGCGGCCAGGGTTCGAGGCGGAATTCCTTTGAGTTGACTACAACTACCACAAGGCAGAGAAGTGGACTACAACTCCCAGAAGGCTGAGCGACATGTGGGCTGCCGGTGCTCTGGTGAGTTCGCGTGCCAATCAGCATCAGCGCAAAAGGCAGCAGAGATACTGCGTTATTTGGGGAAGGTCCCGAGACGCCCTTGGTGAGGTTGAGGAGTCCAAGGGGACTTGGAGCTTGAGGGGTTGGAGGCTGGGTCCTCGTGGCGGAGCGGGAGGGAGACCGGAAAAGCTTCCCTTGTCACTGTGAGTCTGCGGCTGTGTGTGTGAGCGCGTGTGTGTGAGTGTGTGAGAGAAAGAGAGAGGGACCTCACTTCCCTATCTGTGAGGCTCTGCACGCGCTGGGGGTCGGCGACTCTGTGTGTATAGGGGCTGTGGAGCACGTAGGGACTTCACTTTCCTTTCTGTGCCCAAGGGGTGGGAGCGTTACGGACCTGTTCCCGCCCGGCTGGAGCCTAGAGTGGGTAGTTTGTAATGTCTTGCACTCTTGTATCTGCTTTGTGCTGCTCGGAGATTGTCCACTGCTGTTTAATCTAGTTTGAAAGGTGGCCCTGGCAGTTCCCCACACTTAACCTATTGCCAAAACAAACAAATAAACAAACCCAAAGAACAAAAAACTAACAACAAACAAAAACAAAACAAACAAAAGCCCCCCAAACGTGATCTTGCTTCCAAAAAAGAATACAGACTGTCCAAAGTAAAAACTACTATCTTTTCAATGTTGGTGACACAGAAAAAGGGGAGTTCTGGGATGTTGCAGTTATCCCATAGATTGCCTAAAAATACTGACTGTCATTTAAAAATTAGAGTGAAGCCAAATTTTGTCAGAGAAAAACTTCATGGTATTTTTTGAAGTATTGGAGGCCCCTGCCAGACAATGGGCAGGAGAGATTCTCATGGGGGAAGTAGTAGTGTCTGGGAAGCAAGGGTTTTCCCAGAAGCTGCCATTTTTCTGTCTGCGGCTTACCTGCATGTTTTGTGTCCTGGGAACCTGAGGCTCAGTAATCACAGCCTTCAGTCCTATAACCTCTGCCTGCCAACTCTTTCTGCAGCTCAGGAGTTCCCTGTGAGTACAGCAGAGCCCTAGGAGATGAGGTGCTATCTACAGCTACCTTGGCTGTGCAAATAGGTGGTTCTAACAGGAACTGGATAGAGTAAAAGGCTTACTAGTTTGGGATTTTATCTTTTGTGAACATAAAGAACTACCAGAACTCTCCATGGTACTGTCAGAATGTATTGATTGGACCTTGCTTTCAAATGTTGGTTAAATTACCCACTTTCTGTTCCTCAAATACAAATACCCTCCCCCTCAACTTTTCTAGAAAGGTGGGTAGTTTGGGGTCCTTAGCAAAGATTGCTCAGTAGGCTAAGTAGTAAATGTTGGGCTGTCCCACCTACTGTGGGTCATAGTTGAAGTCACCCGCATGGATCCCTGTCCCAATTTTAACTGATTGCTTTCAGTAGCCTGCTCCTTAGGAATGATATCAGCTTGATGTGGAGGTTCAGGGGCTGCAGAGGTGAAATTCACCTTCTGGTTTTGCTGGAATCTCTGTCCTAGCACCAGTTGGCTGGGATAGGACTGGGTCAAAGTTTGAGATCTGGCCAGTAGTTTTCACTGGACAAGCAGGAATGTGCCTCCATCATCTACTATGGGGGCTAATCAGCCTGCTGATTAGTTCTGGGAAGAACCTGGGTGATAGGCCCTTCAGATCTTAGCACTTGCTAACAGGCCCTGGAACAGACACAGTTCTGCTCTGGGCAAGCAGGGCCTTGACTGGAGCCCTGGTAGAGAGCAGAGATTGAGATCATTGGCAAATGGTATTTTGGGGGGAGTCTTGCTCAAGGGAACTGGACTGTGTTTAACCCTTGCTCAGAAGGTCCTGGGCCTGTGGGAGACCCTTCCAGATAGTGGGATAATGTACCCAAACATGATCCTCAGCTCATAAGGCTGTGTACTTGAGTCTTGAAAACAAATACTGGGCAAGAGGCCCTAGGGAGCCAAGGGGCTTGTAGGTGAACAGGAGGCCCCTATGGGTGCCCAAGCACAGAGGTAGCCATTGGGCAACTCACAGGCATTTCCTCCTCAGGGTCTACTTTGGTGTCCCCTCTCCTGCTGACTCTGCCATTTTGAGTGCATCTTCTGGGACCCTCTAGTAGAGAAAGCCATTACCATTGTCTTTCCTGCATTGACTCAGAAGGTTTCTTCTAGAAGAAGTTTCAGAGTTCAGCTAGTCCTACCTCTGCGTTTTCAGATGGAGAGACCGGTCCAGAGAGGGAAGTACCCTGGGCCAAGGACACATACCAGGTTAGGAGCACAATTGTGGTGAGGGCCCAGGGCTCCTGATTCACAGGCCAGATGTCTGTCCTCAACCCCACCCTGCTTGAGAGAGTACCCACCAGGCACCTGGTGGTTGGCAATTTGACTTGGCCACACATTCAGGGAGCTTGCTGCTGGGGGTGGGGGGCAGGGGGAGTAGAGAGGAAGAGGCAAGGAAACTGATGAACAAATTGAATCAATGATTACCAAGATTGTGCATCCCAGAGAAGGACCCATCTTAAATTTCAGGTGTGGCTCCTGTCTTCCCAATTCACCTACAGATTCCCTGAAGGCAGTGTCTGTCTTCCACGGTTCCACTGCCCAGTGCTAGATGTAATTGGTCCTTAGTCATTGTTGCTGATGTAGTACGTCTTGCTGGCCCAGCCTAGAGAATGTAGGTTTTGGTGTGTCCATCTGTCATGTTATCATGGGCACTCACTTCCAGCACGTCTGAGGGCCAGAGGAATAAACCAAGCAACTGGTGTCATGGGGTGGCTTACATCCCTTTATGCTTGTCTCTTTATGAGCTTGGATTTGTAGAGTGGTACCCAGTCTGATCTGTAGGGACAGGGACAGAGAGGCAAATCTCAGCTCCCTGAAGAACCCACACCCCTGCCCCTTTGTTGCTGAGGGCTCCACCTCACAGTCTCTGCCACTCCCTTCAGTCAGTCCGCCTGGCCCATGGCAGTAGCTCCTTACCCTGCTTCTCCAGGCTTGCCACCAACAGGCCCCCTCACACTGTCACCAGCACCAGCACCATCTTCCTAAAATGGAAACTCACCCTTGCCCTCACCGCCCTCGACATTAACCCTAACCTGACTGCAGCCTTACCTCCCCACCTGCCTCCATCACACTTTATCCTCACCACTAGGCTGCTTACTCCCTGTTCACCAATCCTGCCACCCTCCTTTAGGCCTCTTCACCTTTGCAAGATTGCGCCTTCTTGCAAAATTACTTCCTTTTCTCTCTGGAAAACTTACTTGTCCTTTAGGGTTCAACCTGAATGTCAAAGTTTTGGTGTCTGACTTCCTCAGACATGTACTCCTGGGCAGCCACAGCTCCTGGTGTAGACCTTCCTCACAGTACTGGCCACGTTACCTTGTAATGGACCCATGCATGCTGAGGGTGTCTGGCCTTCTTATCAGACTGTGCTCCCAGAGGCTAGGGCTGCTGATCAGTCAGGAATCCCAGCCACTGGCCCCAGGTCTATTGTTTTGTTTGAATGTATGAATGAAGTGGACACCCCTTTTTTGCTTTTAGATTCTAAATCCTGACAGAGCATTATGGAGCCCAGTTCTGGCAGGCTTCCAGGACTGGAAGCCACCAGACCCCACCTGGAACCAAGGGCGTCACCCTTGGCAGAGAGACGACTCCATGTTCTTGTGGGTGTCACGGGGAGTGTCGCAGCCCTGAAGTTGCCTCTCCTGGTGTCAAGGCTTTTGGACATTCCTGGCGTGAGTATCTTTACTAGACAAGAACAGCAGCCCCTGGTGCTAGAGAAGTGCTGTTTCTGTGGCCAGCTCATTTTTGTATAGGGCACAGGGTTTTCTTTTTCTTTTTTTTTTTTTTGTAAGTGTAACTTGTCTTTATTTAGTTTAAACCATAGTTTTGTTAAACATTTGAGATTTTTAAAAAAGATTTTATTTATTTTTAGAGAGGGAAGGGAGGGAGAGAGAGAGAGAGAGAGAGAGAGAGAGAGAGAGAGAGAGAGAGAGAAACATCAATGTGCGGTTGCTGGGGGCCATGGCCTGCAACCCAGGTATGTGCCCTGACTGGGAGTCGAACCTGCGACACTTTGGTTCGCAGCCTGCGCTCAATCCACTGAGCTATGCCAGCCAGGGCAGGATTTTCTTTTTCTTAATTGTGGAAGTCTTCTGTGTGCATTGGTATGAAGAGAACACAGGAGACAGACCAGTGTGCCAGTATAACCAGGAGCTGGATTAGATAGTATGGTCAGAGCTTAAGGGAAGACTGGGAAAGTGACGCTCTGGTAAATGGAGGGATGGGTTTCCATATGTTGACCCTGAGATTCCCTGAGGTCCTGGGTGGCAGGAGGGCTAGGCAGAGAAATGCAGCAAGTTCCTAGTGCCCCTTTGCTACCTTGGGGCTACCTTGGGCCCCTTTCACTCCACCTTGTGCACCGTGGCTCTGTTCTCCCTCCTTGAACACCGTGGCTGTCCTATCAGCCCAAATGCATCATGCACAACTCTGATTTAAACTTTGCTTTGCCAACTGTTCAGAGATGCCCAGGGGCCACTGCAGTGTTTGCAGGGTGAGGGCTTTAGCCCCTCTGCCCTTAGCCAGAACATCTCAACTTTGATCAGTTTTATATATTGGGGTCAGATTCTTCTGTGGGAAGAGCTCAAGGCTTTAAACAGTGTGAAAGCCAGCAGGTAGTAACCCACTTCCTCATCTGGTACCCTTCACTGGTCTGTGGGCCTCCCTCTGTCCCGCACTCCGCCCTGATGGCCTTTCCTTTGGCCAGTCCTTGCAGGCTGTACTACCCTGTGTGCCTTTCCAAACTCTGCACACAGAGTTTGTGTAGATGCCTTCTTGGCCTACCTATGTCAGCCCACTTGGCTATGCTCCCCCCCCCAGAGAGTGAGTATTTATTTATTTATTTATTTATTTTTGCTTTATAAAATTTATTAAAAGTTAAAGTTATTCATCTTCTATCCCATGAGCATCCATCTAGCTGCCTTTCAACTTGGTCCATCACCCGCATGAATGCTGTCATAAATGCCTGGAAATCTTCAGGGTAACAGGTCTGCCTTTGCTCAAAACTCTTTGCTGCAGGCCTTGTAGCCAGCCCAAGTGTTCACACCTTTATTTTAAATGTCTCCAAAATTTGCACCCCAAGTATGCCATCTATAGATGAAAATGTGTATCCCATAGCAAAAATAAATAAATAAATAAATAAAATTAAAGCCAGTCCGGACATGTCAAAGAGTCAAGTCCACCATTCCGATTTCCAGTTGGTTCATTTTAGTGCCTGTCTGCCCAGGGCAGGAGTGACGCTCGTGCTGTAGGGCTGCAGCTGCTGTTCTCCTTCCTTCGGCACAGAACCGGAAAGCGGACACCAAGAACACCCAATGAAACGTACTGTGCAGCCACATTAAACATTAATGTCACCCTGGCTGGCGTAGTTCAGTGGATTGAGCTCGGGCTGCAAACCAAAGCATCGCAGGTTCGATTCCCAGTCAGGGCACATGCCTGGGTTGCAGGCCATGGCCCTCAGCAACCGCATATTGATGTTTCTTTCTCCCTCCCTTCCTTCTCTAGAAATAAATAAATAAAATCTTTTAAAAAATTAATGTCATAAATATTTAAGCCACAGAATAGAATTTTTTTAGAAATCCCTTCTGTCCACTACTCTTAAACCATCACAGGCTTAAAGACAGTATACATTTCACTAAGGTCAACAAAGGCCGTTGAATCGCTGGAAGAGGACATGCACGGAAGTGTACTACTCAGAAGTTTGGTGGTAGTTATGGAGTGCCTAGATTGTCAGGCTGCAGACCTGGGAATCTCACAACCCTGAACCTCCAACCTGGAGGCAGCCCTCCTACACTGGTTGTGAATCAATTAGGATAGTTGTTTAGATACAATTGTGTTGAAATCCTTGCTGTGCCCTTTGCTAGCTGCATGACCTTGGGCAAATTTCCTCATTTGTGAAATAGAGATTTTAATACCTACCATGCTGACATGTTTTGGGATTCCTTATAAATAAATAAAGAAAGCCTTGACTGGACTGGTGTAGCTTAGTGAGTTGGGCATTGTCCCACAAACTGAAAGGTTGCTAGTTCGATTCCCGGTGAGGGCCCATGCCTGGGCTGTGGACCAGGTTTTTTCCCTTTTAAAACTCATTTGATGTATTAAAGTGGTAAAAACAATTTATTCAGGAAAGCTGTTGCAATCAGGGAAGAGAGACCTTAGTACAGAACTGCGCTTAATTTGAACACAACAAGGGAAAGTGGGATTTATAGCCAAGGAGCAGCATGGAGGTCCGTGTATGGAGATTGCCAGGCAGAGACATCAGCAGTAAAAGGGGTTCTCCCCCAACAGGAGTCTCGGTGAAGGCAGGCAGGGTGATCAGACATCGTCTGGGGGATGTCGGGGAATGGGAAGCCTGAGGAGATATCCAGGCCAGTCAGGTATCAGAGTGGGAGCTTCTGGATAAACCATCTTAACAGGATTCTTGCTTTTGAGGACAAGGCTCAAAGATGGGTCTAATCGAAAAAGTGGCTCACAGGAACCTCACTGGAGTTTGGTCAAGGAGAGAGTTTCAATCAAGATGTGGAACCATCAGCTGCACTTTTGACGCTGCTCGTTTTGTTGGACACTAGTTTTGTGGGGTAGTGTTAAGCCGCTGGGGCTCAGGTGGTCCTTTTTCCTTGTTATCTGCACAGCATGTGATACAGGGTAGCACAGGTGCATGTACCGATATGTCCAGCAGGGGGCAGTGCTCACCTGCAGATGACCATATTGGGATTCCAGGCAGGGGCTGGAAAATCTTTCACTATTTTTACTTTCCACAAACTTCTACCCTGAAAGTCAGTCCCTCACTTCACTGCCACTACACCCCCTGCGCCAGGCTGGGACAAGCAGTAAAGCAAGCAGCAGGGATGCCAGTTAGGCCAAAGGAAAAAGAGTCTCATGGCTGCTCTGAGGCTGGGCTCTGGTGCTATTGGGGCAGGGACACCTGGGGTCTGCCACCCCTCTTGTGCCCAGAACTGTTGGTAGGACCTGGCCAGCTAGAGCCTTGATGGTAGGAGGCCTGGAAGGGGTTGCAGCTGTGACAGCCTCTGCCACTGCCCTCTGGGGAGGGAGGGAGTCATGCGGTTCCCTTTTCCCATAGCCCCAGAGCAAGTGAATTTCCGGACTCGGGGTGGGTGGGGGTGGGGAGTCCTATCCCAGGAAACAGATGGGCAGCTTCAGAGCCGAGGGAAATGGCAGCTCCGGGCTTCCTGCCATCCCATGCAGCCGCAGCCGCATTCATGGGGGTGTGAGGAAAGGGTGGCCTGGAGCAGGGAGGCTCTCCAGCTACTCCAGGGTCTTTAGCCTGGTCTACTGAGGGACAGACTAAAAAGCCTGGAACAGGACTCAGTTCTTCTCTGGCTGGAGTTGAAGTGGAAAATCAAGTAGCCAGAAAGGCACTGACCTGGGAGGAAGAGTGTTCTGACTTAGCCTCTCAGAGCCTGCTTCTTCTGGTTTAAAATTAGGATGACTACTCCCACCTATCCCCTTGGGCTCTTCTCAAGGCTGAGGGAGGGGACACAGGTGAAACAGTTTGCCATCTTGTGTCAAAAACTGGGCACAGTTCCTGGCACATGGAAGTGCTTCACAATGTTTGTTTCCTGTCTTTCACCCTCTTTCCCCTTGTCACGCCCTCTGGGCCAGCCGTGTGGTGTGGGTGTTGGGGATGGCGAGACAGCTTCTGTGGGAAGAGTCATGGGAGCCACAGTCCACCTGCTCAAGTGGAGGACCCATATTCATGTAGGTCGACAGCTCCTCAAAAAACCTGGGTTTGCTTGCTGGGGCCCTCGTGAGGTGTTAATAAATAAGGAGGACCCCTGGCCTGCCTCTTGTTGGCCTGGAGGTAGTGACCTTCCCCCAGCACTTCCCCACACTCCCTGGTGGCACTGGTCTCCCCATTTCTGCATCACCCCACCAGAAGCAGTCTTTGTCCCTTGAAGCAGTCCTTCTCAGCTCTTTGGCTAAGTCATGGGTTCACATGCCAAGGCTCCCTTTGGTATACCTCGATTTTGACTAGCAAACAAGAAACTGGTGTGGGCTACAGGGAGTTGGGTGGTTATGCAGACCTGGTTCATAATTATCCCTAATTCACCTGCATCCAGGCATCCTAGCAGAGCTACTGAGCTAGAGCCAGACCAGGGAGATTGTGAGGGGGCAACAGAGAGGGGTAGATTTGACCTCAAGACTCACATACCAGCAGTTGGGAGGAGTACAGCCAGTATAGAAGCCTTGGAGCCTTGATGCAGGACGGGGGAGGTTGGACAGCAGCGGCCAGCCCTGCCTTGAGACAGGCAGCTGAACGTAGAGGATTTCTCACTCTGGGACCTTGGGCAAGTCGGTTCTTATTTATGGCCTCAGTTTTCTTAATCCATGCAATGAATGAAAAGAAGGCACTCAAGTGACCTATCTCTAAGACCTCTCTGGCGCTAGTGGTAGAAGATTCTAGATGTGAGGGCACAAAGGACTAGGACTCAAAGGCAGCCTGAGAGAAGGTCTCGGAGGGAAGGAGCTTCAGGGAGTTTTGCAGTTCCATAATTGTCATGTAACTGGGCCGCAGTTAGTCTGAGCTCAGTCATTTCTGCCCTTCGGTTGGCACTTTTCTCACTTGGGAGGAGAAGACAGACACCTCTAGCTTTGCCAAGCAGGGCTGAGGGCCAGAAGGGGATTTCTAAAGGTAGAGAAAATCTCCCATGGAGGG